TCAATTCATTCAAACATAAATCAGTTTAAAAGTAAAAATCATACTAACCAAAAGCAAAGTCTATAACAAGAGCAAATAAGTTTAATCGACATGGCCAATCCTAGTAATTGGCCATCTTTTCTTATGTTGGTCTTGGCCTTGTATGCCATTGCTGCTCATACAAGTGCCCAATACACATACTCTCCACCATCACCACCTCCATATGTCTACAAGCCACCAACACCTCCTCCATACGTCTACAGCTCCCCTCCATATGACTACAAGCCACCAACGCCTCCTCCTTACGTCTACATCCCTCCTCCATATGTTTACAAGCCACCAACTCCTCCTCCCTACGTTAACAGCCCTCCTCCATATGTTTACAAACCACCAACGCCTCCTCCCTACGTCTACAGCCCTCCTCCATATGAGTACAAGCCACCAACTCCTCCTCCCTACGTCTACAGCCCTCCTCCATATGTTTACAAGCCACCAACACCTCCTCCCTACGTTTACAGCCCTCCTCCATATGTTTACAAGCCACCAACACCTCCTCCCTACGTTTACAGCCCTCCTCCATATGTCTACAAGCCACCAACACCTCCTCCTTACGTCTACAGCCCTCCTCCATATGTCTACAAGCCACCAACCCCTCCCCCTTACGTCTACAGCCCTCCTCCATATGAGTATAAGCCACCAACTCCTCCTCCCTACGTCTACAGCTCTCCTCCATACGTTTACAAGCCTCCACCATCACCTCCTCCTTATGTCTACAGCTCTCCTCCATATGTTTACAAGCCTCCAAGCTATAGTTCTCCTCCAATATACTAAACAAACATATCATGACAGTTTCGTTTATCATCTATTATAGTTATGGAATAAATATATCTCTTTCTAAATTGTCGTACATGAAATGTATTAATGTGGTTATAAACCAAGTGCATTCTTTGTTGTGCGTTTGCTTCTTTTGATGTTGTTTTTACACTTTAAAAATCAATATACTTGTTCTTCATTTTTAAATGTCTTATAAACTCAATAAATTGTATTAAAACAGATTTAAATGAATCCACTACACTTGTGGCATCTCAAAGTTTCCCCAAACTATGGATTTGAAAGTTTATATATCTCAGCTTATAGAAAACATGTGTTTTGGGACTACTTGTTGTGACTCTTTTCTGGGTCGCAAAAAAGAGCGACGCTATAGTGACCATTTTACGGCAAATAAGCAACTATAGCACATCCGGATGGAAAACCGTTGGTAAGTAACAACGAACATTTAAAGTCTCGAAAACGTCTCATATTTGCTTCTGTTTGGCAACTATTATGCGAGTAAAAAAAAGTAGTCGGGAAAGGGTCGCTATGAGAGACTAATTTGTGACGCTTTTAATAGTCAGCAGAAGTAGTCGCAAATAATTCACAAAAGAGCGACAGGGTTGCAACTTCATCTAGTTGTCATAGATTAGTGGGAAAGAGGTAGTAAAATCTCGTTACAAACGTTGAAAATGTGAAAGTTCGGTACAACTAACTATTGCGACGCTGTTTGGTATAGTCACAAATTAGTCAGTGAAGATGAAGTTTCTGAAGATGAGTAATTTCAATGTAAAATAATTTTTAAGGATTGCTTTGTAAAATATAATTTCTAATAGCTGTTTTGCCACCCTTTTAGGATGCTTGTGGGGGTCATAAAATGCTTGTTTCTTGTAGTGAATTATAAGGCAAAGATTACTATCGATAGGATTTATTTATATACGAGTATATCTATATAGCTAGGAATAAATATAAAAGAATGAAATATGTACCGGTATCTTGGGGTGATTCTTTATGGCTGGAACGCCTGTAAACTGTTTTTGGGACAGTGTCGATCGACACCATAAATTTTGGTTTGAACGGTTTAGTTTTAAATCGTCGGTTTGACTTGGAATTGATTGGGATGAAACCCTAAGTCATGTTAAAACTCGAGCAGCCATTCTTTTGGGTCAGTTTTTATCTACTGTTGCTTTCGATGAGTTCTGATAGAGAGAGAACTTGATAGTTGGCTTAAAGAGGCTTAACAAAGAGTTTCTAGAGTTTTTTTTACTGTTTCTTGGTGTTGCAAGCAAAGGTTTGAGGAGATTCATGGCTGTTAAAGCAAGAAGGGTCTTGTTCTTGCTGTTTCTTCTCTGTTTTTTCCTTCCTTTCAATCCATATCAAAGATAGTGCGTGACCATGGTTAATCAAAGCATGTTTAACCCTGCTGATGTGTATTTGGTCGATTAGATGGCGAGATATTTTTTGTGGAAATGTTTATGTGTTTCGGTTGCTGTTATTGCATGTTTGAGTGTTAAGGTTTATGGTTGGAGCTTTGGAGGTGGTGAATTCGTTCTCTGGATAGTTGAGACGATTTCAGGACTTCTGCGGAGGAGCTTAGGCCTCCTTCCATTATTTTGCCCTTATCGGTTGGGAGAATCTCGGCGACCAGATCATCCACAAAATCCACAGCGCTAGAGGAAGGGTAACTCCTGAAGGGGAAAGGTAGGTCAACTTGTTTACCTTAGTTAAGGCATCAAGGATCGATATTAATTATGTAACTTTCAGATCCAAACTGAACGGGGTGGAATCTCAAACTTTTGCAGCATATAGGCAATGGAAGAACAAGTCGAGAGTTGATTTTGAAGCTCTGCAATGGGGACACAAAGCTGTTAAACAGACTTGCCTCTTGATAAGGTTTTCTCCCACATGTAAAGCATTTTGAGCCATTTTCCAGATAAAATGTTTAGTTTTTGGGGAGCTTTTAATAACATAGCACCAATTTAAACTATCTATGGGATTTAGATTTTGCACAGGTGGTCCTCTGAAACTAATGTGTCTGCTAAGGCTTCGTAGTAGCCAGATTTTGTAGTATATACACCAGAAGAATTTTGGGAGCCATGCCCACATATCTAGAGCACCTTTCTAGCTTGGCCGAAACAGAAGAATCTCTTCGATATAAGCTGGTAGAAAGGTTTTGAGCAGGTCCTTGTTCCATTCCAAAGAATCTGGGATCATTGAATCAGAGACTTAAATTTTGGGATTCCTTGGTTGGAGGTCTCATTGGTTGATGTGGGGATGCTAAGCAGAGCCAACGACTATGCCACACAGATACAAAGCTACATACCCGATCCAATGATTCTACCAAGGCAGATGCTGCGCTGGCCATGAGAAGCCGAACCTAGAACTCGATATTCTAGGAAATCAGAGCTGTTATAGTACTTTCCCAAAATAACTTTGGCCAGAAGGCAAGATGGTTTTGTGAGGATCCTCTAACTTAGTTAGCAAGAAGGGTATCATTGAAGGTACTAATATCATTGTACCCAACTCCACCATCTCAGAAAGATTTTGTCATTCGATTCCATGAATTCCAAAAAATTCCAAGAAATTCATTTCTGGTGTTACACATGGTTGAAGGGCGGAGAGAACCAAAGAGTGTATGTCTCCTTCTTGGGAGGTAAACATTTGTTGATAGAAGTCTATGATAGCTTTTATAATATCTTTTTCTTCAAAAACTGAAATACCATCTGCAGATTCCATCACAGAAATATTGTTCATAGCTCTTCTTCCTTTGCTAGCTGTGTGGAAATACCCTGATTTTTTGTCCCCAAAGGCCAACCAAAGTTGTATGCTCCTCTGTTTCCAAAAGGCATCCTAATTCTGGTAACATTTGGTAAGTTTCTGGTTGATCTTGTTGATCTCATCATGATTATCAACGCCTTGACTCATGTTTTTAATCCAACTATTTCACCCTACTAGGCACTATTGAAACTGATAACAGTACCCAAAATAATCAACTTTCTATAAGCTTTCAACCAGAGTCCACGACCACCGAACTTTCCACGTTGATCAGAGTATAGGTTGGCTGGTTGGCACAAGATGCTTGAAATTATGCATCCGAGAAAGTCAGTGAGTGATAAACGACTTGGGGCAACATAATAGGTCCAAGTCTAGAGTTTCTCAAGAACACAACACAAGATTTGTTTTAATGGGTAGTTATGAGGACCTCTTTTTGGCTTTTCGTTGATATATATAATAAAACATTACAAGAATTAGAACTATTGAGTACTAGGAGGATAAGGAGAGATTAAAAGATATAACACGAATCCTAAAACGTAACTATCCAAAAGAACCCAAAACCAAAACTGAAAACATAAAACACCAAAACCATTGACTTCTAATCCAAGTGACGTGGATTATGCCTTCTCGTATGTACGGGCCGATCTGATAACACATGCCTATCACAACAAAATACAGTGAACCTAAGTAATAAAAGGGAAAAAGAAAACATGGATGTGAGAATTGTTGAAAACACTTGTAGACAAAATATCTTGATATTATTTTGTGACAACACAACCCATATGTTTTGATTTGAAAAAATTCCTCAAAATATTACAGTTGCAAGTTTTTTCAAAAACACCACTATTAATTTAATTTTTCAAAGCATTTCTATTCTATTTTGCCCTCTCCTCGAAGCATTTCTATTCTATTTTGCCCTCTTCGAATAATAGTAGAAGTATGAAAGAACCTGGTATTTCTATCCCCAAACATTAGAACCCTCTCTCGAGACTTATGGTACCATATCATCTCCTCTTTTTCTAAAACAACCTCAAGCTCTTTTATAAGATTTTATTCATCTTGCAATAGAGCATCCTTTTGTGAAATCTCAAGCGTGTCTTAAACCATTTTTATATCTTGAAACAAAGCATCCTTCCGCCACTGCACATCACCAAATACCTCTTTATTCCATCGTAGAAGTCTTAATCTCAGCTGTTTTAGGGCCTTAGGAGTCGATAGTTCATTGTTCCAAGATATCCCAGTAAATCCTTACAACTTTCTTGTTGAAGCCATGCTGCTTCAAACCGGAATGGTCTTCTCTTTGAATCTCCTCTAACCTCTGGCTGTAATTGGACATAAAGTGGAGCATGATCAGATGATAACACTGGAAGATGAGCAACAGTAGCCTCTTGCCACATTAAACAAGCATTAGCACAACATAACACACTATCAAGACGCTTCTCAAAAAAATTATGTTCCTCGCGTCCTCGCTTCCAAGTGAACCTGTTCCCTCGGGATCCCATATCAATCAGGGACATATCATTAATCCAGCTTCCAAACGCCAAAGAATCTGGTGATAAGCAGCCATTACCGCCAGTTCTTTCATCAACACAAATAATGGTATTGAAATCACCTCCTATTAGAACCGGTCCTGTAATACGCTGTACTACACTTCGAAGTTCATCCCATAAACTGCATCTTCTACTAACCGTTGGAGCTACGTACACTACAATTAGATTCAGAATTTATGTACCCATCGTTATTGTCGCATAAATAAACTGAGTCGACTTATGCACAATCTCGACATCCCCAATCCATGATCGCCAAAAAAGCCATAAACCACCACTTTGGCCAGCCGCATCAATCCGAAAAGACCCATCAAACCCGAGACCCTGACAAATCCTCTACGCTCTATCTCCGCCCACATGCGTTTCGAAAATGGCTAACACATCATACTTGAACGTTTTCAAAATATAGCGAATGTACCTCCGAAAATTGGGTTTATTAGCCCCCCGGCAATTCCATAATAAACAATTCATCATAAATAAAGAAACTTCAATTCAAACTACCGGGGACACCATTATGCTAACTGCAAATCCATCCCTCCGTCATATGGATTCGGTAGCTCAAGCAACTCCCTATGGTTCTGAGATGTCTCCACCTCCTTGAAGTCATTAAAAGAAACAGCTTCAACATTGATTCCGGCCTCTCCGATCGATTGTCAGGCAAACCACTTTCGAATACCCCACCAACACGACCAACATCTTCTCGTTCAACACAAATTATTTTTCTCGCCATCGACTTCTCCACTTCCCCTCTAGTCGGGCCAAACACCAAGCCAATCATGGGCCGTGCAATATGACTTTTAGCTCTCTGCCCGACAAAAATATTGCCCTTGTGAGTTCCCCCTCTATTTTCTTTTGGTCCTACTCGCCCTGGGCCTTG